AATAATATTCTTCTCAAAAATGCATTACAAAAATAAGTGTCAAATTTGCCAAAAATTGGCCTACAGATTAAGGGATATATTTGAAATAGATTTTTCATTTATATAATAATTACAGAGATATATTATAGTTGATTATTTATTAATTTTATATGCTTTATCAATTATTATAAGTAATCATTGTAATAATATCTATATAAGCATATAAATATCAATGTTCAAACTCGAAATACTTTACTTTTCCATATTTTACTACATCACAAAAATAATAACAAAGCTATATATAAATTTTATTGCAACAAATTTTATTGTAACAAATATATATCTTATTTATAAGTTATTTATCTTTTTTCCAAAATATACAAAATTTACTTATGAAATAAGAGCACTCATATACTTGTGTCGAGATACTAGCTTCACTATTATTCAGCATATATCAATATTATATATAGCTATATCTTATACTTTATAAAGAAATAATAAAAAAAATATATATCTTTAGTACTGGGCTTTTATATCTATATATAGAAAATAATTTTGAACTAGATTTAAGAAACAGGATATTTTTGTTAAGTGACGACTCAGGAATAATAAGTGATGACTCCAAAAAAACATTCGATGAAAAGGTTAAAGTATGACCTTCGCAATAAGTGAATTGATAATATTCATTGCCAATTTCTAATTGATGTGATCCCTTTCTAGGTCGAATATGAATCGCAGAACTCTCCTTCCGTATCTGACGATGACGATTCGAATTATATGCCAAGGTATATATGATTATCCTTTGAATGATATTCTTCAATTCTTCTTAGACTATAATTTTATTTCCTTTGTAATACAAGCGACACTGAAGAATCGGCTTCTGATACCGATGCATCTGAGGACAATATAAATGGGAAGGATCTCCCAAAAATTGACAAGACGGCTTTTTGTAAGACCTATTATGCTATCCCAAACTTTACAAAATTGCAGTTGAGCACAGGCAGGATAGTGGAAGACATCCTTTTTGAATTTGCTAAAGACATGGACTATGAACAGAAAGTTTTTCAAAATTTATACCTTGTTTATTATCATTCACAATACTGACAATGATTAGCCATGCCCATTCCTATATTGTGGACTGATGACGAGATTGTCAGAGCGTTATTCACCGATAAGGAGTGGAACGAACTAATTAAAGATCGAAATGGGGTTCCTTCTGTTCCACGTGATATTGCAGAAGAGCTATCGAAGTACGGAAGTAAAACATTAAAAGAGCTACGTACGAAAGTGATGAAATCATACCTTAAGGATGACGAAGAATATGATGTTCAAAAGCATTATAATCGAGAATGGATTCAAATGACCATGCGAACACTTTGTAATCTGTTCGAAAATATAGATACCCCCTTAGTAAGGACCCAATATGAAGATTGGTTCACGGTCGCGCTTTTTGGAACATGTATTGATTTCTGCGTCAGGGACGCGCAATTGGGAACCGACATTAAGAGGTTTTATCCATTTTCACTAATGTAAACAATCAATTACCATCATTTCACTTATTTATCACTTTTATAGGACCGATGCACCATCATTGAGTAGTGCCAACAGAAAGAATCGGCGTCGGAAAACAAACGCAAGAAAACTCATTGGTCGCAAAATCGATGGGATAATATATATAACTAATAGACTTGTTGAAATCGGTGCCATTGAAGGTGCAAGGGCTTTTGCGGGAGTTTCAGATAACAAATATCTCCTCGAGTCATTCAAGATGCCCAAAACACTTCGAGATATGTATTCTGATTTAATCAAGGCTGTGAATTATGACGATCAAAAAGCAGATAAACTTCAAGTATTTGGCATCTTACACCTTGGGTTATATATTCAGTTCGCGAGATTATGGCGCGCTGGTGGATCGATCTGCATTTTTCGTAAAGATCCCCAATCTTTCTATATAGATAGCAAGTTCTCGAAAAATGGATTAAGTTCCTTCATTAAATTTCTAAAAAAGATATACCAATATAAGGTATGAAAAATCTTATATTGTAGTTATCATTTTATTTTTCTTCTGTGTTCTAATTATTTTCACAGATCATTATTAGGAACAATCTACAAATTCTGAATATTCTAAATGACGATACTGACACTGAATGTGGCGACCTGTTGGAAGAATTGCTTAAAGATGACAATGAACAATGCTCTACTCCACCACCCGTGCCAATTCATTTTTTTGCTGATTGCGAAAACACTCCAAAGAAAAAAAAGAAAAAAAGGAGTAATTCGAAGGAAAATAATTCAAGGCGAAAAAAAATAAAGTCGAATCATTCCGTGATTTAACTTTTGTGACAAACCAGTCTTGTAATGTAATACGATATTCTTTAATAAAGTGGTTATCTTTGACACGTATTGCGCAAAGTATAAAGTTTCAGGAATATGATTTTTTAAATGCACATTTAGCTTTAACATTATTCAATAAGACCCAATTCTCGAAGATGCTCTGGAATAACTATATATGGGTCTTCGTAATACCAAGCATACCTTAAAACAATCCAATTTTCTTCGCATAATTCTTTCTTGAGTTGATCCGCTTTTGCTGTTTGATGGAAGAATTCGATATATTTTTCATGTTGTCCCTGTACTTCGATAGCAAATCCATAATCTGGATAATAAATATCTAGTTCTAATCCTATTGGATGTTTGCAATTGAAGTCCAAGAAATGCAACATGAAAAATATATTGAATTTTTTCATAGAGGAGATCCTAATAATTTTATTAAACAGCAGGAACGGGATCAACTCAAGGAAGAACTTTGCGAAGAAAATTAGATAGTATTAAGATATGTTTGGTGTTATAAAGACCCATTCGAGAAAATTCTAGATATCCTTCGAGAATTGGGTCTTATTCCTTAACTGTAATTATTTAATATCTGTATTGGGTAGATATCCTTTTGAGATCAATATGGTATGAATGTAGGAAAGCAAATCACAGTCGAATAGAACTTTAATAAGACATATATCTTGCTTTTTACATATTTCCCATTTTTTTTGGTCGCGCTTCCTTTGATCATCTAGATCATTTTGATTTTTGTGATATAAACTATTGCGATAATAGTGTTGGATACCTTGAAATTCAAAAGCTAGTTTTAGTTCCTCATTATATCCATCAAGTCGTAATTTTTTTAAAAATGAGGCTGAACATGATAGAAATTTCTTGCCTAATAAATCTTCGAATATATATCTTACACTTCTCTCGGTTGTGTGTGGACAAACTGGATACCACTCGAATTTCTGCTTTTGGATCCTATAAGGTGCTTCCCATTGATGGAGTCCTTTTTCGCAAGACCAGAGGTATATATCAAATCCATTTATATTACTAGTTTTGCCAAGACACTTCCCATTTCGCTTCTCTACATAAGCTTGGGCCTTAGCCATTTTATTAACAGCACAAACGAAATTAACAGACCTGGAATGAGTGTTTTCTTCCAATATACTTTGGGGCGGAAGATCTGGATCATGAGTCAGATGCATTAATTCCTCACGCACAAATGCCTTTTTCGGATACTAATTGCCATCACTTTCAAAATAGTAGAGCACGGGTATGTAATGAAGGACTCCATACTGGATCCGTGGCTTGTTTTTGTTCTAAACCTGGTGATCCTTCCCATTCCCCATTGGCTAACAAATAACGAACACTATCCCCTTTTTTTAACTTATTTTCCTCATTTTTTTCAACAGGGTGCTTATACTTTGTGGATGGCCTAGATTCTACTCGTTCCAGTTTGATAGCTTTTACTGGAGCTAAACCCCATTTTGATGAACCTGGAGCTCGAATAAGGTGTGTTGGATAGTTATTTAAGTAATTGATAACTTCTGGCAAACACTTAACCCACTCTCTTATTAATTTAGGATTTTCAGATATTGATTCCACAGCATATTGGATCTTATATAACATTTCTGCAAGTGTCTTACAAAATCTGTCTACAATTGCAAGTCCTCGATGACTATATGCGCCAATCACTCAGATTATTACACCATGCTCTTCCATTATTCGGCTTGTCTCATCCATATGTTCACGATCACCATCAACAGTTAGTAACTTAGGCCAGGTTAACGGATTTGATGGATCATCATAGATTTTCCTGAAGGCTTCAGCAACTTCACTGGATTTTTTTGATAAGTGGAACTGAAGCTTTAAACCGGCTATCCACATCTATTATATTTAATACTGCTATTCATTTTTTATCTTTGTAATGGTTATAAGTAAGAAATAGAAGGTCACACATATGTACACAATTTGGTTTGCTAATTTTTCCATAACTTATTCTAGAAATATATTTAGAAGAAAAGAATATATTTGCCAGGTACTCTGGTTATGCAACCATTTTTTAATTGTAAAAAGCTTAAAGTTATATATATTCTTTTTTTTTATACACATTTTTTAATGTTTTTGTATTGGAGTAATATCCAATTGGATGATAGTATATATTACATAATATGAGATTTTTTTCAATATTTCGAGCTTCATTAGAATCTATAACAATATTAGGATTACTTATTTTAACAAAGTCAGGATAAGTCAATATAATATATTATAAAAAATAATTATGATATTTTGTTAACCATATTCTAATTGAATATCTCATGGGCCAGTTTTTTGAGTATAAATCTGAATTGAAATAAGTTAATCAAGAACTTTAGGAAATATTAAAATCAAAAATAATCTTTTTTTTTTTTTTTTTTTTTTTATAGTAGAACGGCATTAGATGCGAAGCTTTATTGACTTATTTATCAATTTTTGATTATATCAAACATCCTCTATTGTATTACAACAGTTAAATGCTAGCCTATCTACTTATTGCCCCAGCGATATTAACACCACTCTCAGAGTGGGTTATTATATTTTTGGGGGGGGGGACCTATCTAGGGGATGGAAATCCTATCACTAGTTTTAAACCATCCAACCTACC